CTATTCCCGATCTGAGCTGGGCCAAAACAAATCTTGAAACATCACTTGCCTGCTACAAACACAAGAAGGCAATCTAGTCTTTAATTTTATCACACTATGCCAACATTTCATGACAAACGGATGAATATGAAGGGATAAAATCTTGTTATATTAAGTTACGTTGAGAGTTAGGATGTTTTTTTTTGCTTCTGTTGTACAGTTTTTTTTTGGAGGCGCTACGTTTCGTTCTGACAGCAATGATTTAATGTTGTTTGTCGTGTTATGTAGTATTTTGTAGTGCAGCATTGCATCATCGCTTTGACAGAATTGACTATTTTTAGTAACACTTCATTTGGATACTTTCGATGCTTTGTAGATACTTTGTTTACTTTTAAGTTACATTCAACTAAATATCTACTAAATTCACTATCATTTTCTTTAGACCTGGCTCTAATCCTAACACTAACCCTAATCTCAACCCAAAACCTAAACCCAACCCTCACCCTGGTCCTAGCCCTAACCGTAATCCAAATCCTAACCCTAACCCCACCACTGTTTAGAATTAACTGAGTTTCAACAGATAGTTTGTTAACAATTTGAACATCTACAGGTAATCTATAGGGGACTATAGTGGACCTTTTAAATAAAGTGAGACATATTTTTTTATCCTTTTTTTAATGTTTTGGTCCATCAGTGTTCTCTCACTATAATACCCAGCATTCAATATGCCCACACTTACAACACAATACAACCCCTTACCCCCACCCATGGCAATAATTATCCACTGATCCACTAATATAGATGTGCCACTGATGTAGAGCAAAATCCACCCCAAAGCAGTTGTAGTTTTTCAAATGTTCCTCCCACATTCAAGATATGTCATCAGAGGGGTTTCTTAGTCTTTAAACTGGAAAATCTCACTCTGGAGACCAGTGTGGCATCACTGTACTGAAGGAAGTTAATGTGCTGTGTTGTGTGTGTGTGTGTTTTGAAGTTGTATTTTAGGTTGCCTATTGTTGTCTTTCTCCTTATATGGTCATGTTGTCACACCTGTCACTTGTCCTGTATACGCTGGGTCTAATCTTGGCATCAGTCCAGCTATAAAAGTGTGACAGCCCATTGTATAAGGGGGCTGGCTGGGTGTCTGGAACCTGCGCGCGCAACAAATAAACTTCACCTGTCCAGACAACAGATCGAGTCTCCCGGGTTTGGATTCTATCAGTACTAATGAGTCGGCATGTTCGCAACAGGTGTTTTCATTTTGGCTGTAATGTCCCTTTAAATCCTTCACTCACATCATTACTGAGAGCTACAGGGTTTTTTATATTTGAATGTGGTGTATCAACTGGTGTGTAATGTATGTATGTCTATAATACTAGTAACACACAAAGCCATGCACTGGTCTGCTGTTATTTGAGTGTCATTTCTTGCTAAGATCACAACACACAGGCTTTTTTTGTTAGTAAGAGGGAAGAAATCTCCAGCTGGGAAAGCCTTTTGTCTGTGGAACACTGAAAAAAAAAATGTTGAATTTACATGTGTAAAAGTTCAAATATGGAAATCGGTTCTACTCAAAAGAAATATGTTACATCAACTTAAATGAAGTAAGTTCATTTACGTCCTTACACATAGTAATTATGTTGATGTAACACGTTTCATTCATGTCAAGCCAGTATAAACAACCGAATCATGTACTTTTGATATTTTTGTTCTTTTTATTCTCTTTTATTATTGAACCCCTTAAAATCCCAGGTTTATTACACACTAAGGCTTATTATTCAGTAACCACAGAGACTTCAATGCAAACTGGCTGAGCTGTTCTTAGATTATAGAAGTGTATAATAAACCTCTGGGCCCACCAGCTGGCCCTGGCCATTTAAGGGGTTGAAGGATGTGATCTACATTTGGTTTTATTTTATTTATTTATTTTTTGCATTTATTGTGTGTAGAAGCCCATTAAATGAAGGTCTTGCGCATTTCTTCTGTCACTGTCAGCTAACTAAAACACAATGTCTCCATCTAGTGGCCTAAACAGCGATAAGTCCGTCACAGCATGTACAGTCATATGCAAAAGTTTGAGCACCCCTGGTCAAGATTACAGATGTTGATTTTCTAAGTGAAAGTAAGTGAACACATCCTCTACAGAGAACACATTTAAATATGGCATTTCCTGCACATTTTACCACACAGTTTCTATTTACTTCAATGCAATGACTTCTAGACTTGATGCAATGAGGCAATACATAGCATATCCTGACGTGCTGTGATATATCCTGTGATAGTTCAGTTCTCTATATGATAAATGTCTGACTGTTTATAGCGTATCCACCTCCTCAAACATCTACTGCAGTGTCACATTCCCTGCCCCATCCCTGATCAGGCCTAATGGAATGAAAAAAGTTCTTCTTCTTCTTCTTCTTCTTCTTCTTCTTCTTCTTATTATTATTATCATTATTATTATTATTATTATTATTAATAGTAGTAGTAGTAGTAGTTGTTGTTGTAGTATATGCTGCATATGTTATATGCACCAGCATATGTTATGTTTTGGATGTTAGTATGCTGGTCACCAGCAAAACCAGCATGTCGCTGTTGTTGGAACAAAACCTTGTATCTCCAAAATGGTAACTTTACTTGAGAAGGAAAAAACATACTGTACTTTGAATGTAAGTAAATGGAACCAGATGTTTTTCCAAGTCATTTTGGATCATTTCTTTTGGTCTGTTCATCATGAAATTTACATACAATGTAAAAAGCAACAGGTATTTTCAAATTATGTCAAAAACTGGTATATTGTTCACCAGCAAAACCAGTGTATGCTGTGTTTTGTATGCCATGCTGCGTAACCAGCTAAACCAGCACCAGACTAGACATAATCCAGATTAGGCCAGCATTTAAATGTCATGTAAATTGTGTAAATGTGGCGTTTTGTTTTTTAATCTTCCGTATTTGAGCGCCTCTTTTCGACATCTCTGTGGCTGTACAAACTATGGGACCTGGGTCTGTTGAGCCCGCTCAGTGTTCAACATCTGTTTGTGTTTGGCAGAGCTCAGAGCTGGACTGAATGTTTCTCAGGGCTTGGTGTGTTTTGCTGAGTTCAGGATTGTCTGTGTGATGATCTTCACCTGGGTCTCATTAGCTCGGTCCGCTGTGCTGTTCTGGGTTTTGAGGCACCTGGAGCTGCTGAAACAAAGAGGCTTTCCAGGGGGTCAGCTAGAATTTAGAGTCATCTAGGAAGGGTAATGTCATGTATTGAAATGCATTGCTTGTATCTTTAAGGAGTACGGCATTACATCACCTGGGGGAAAAGATGCATTGTGGGACACACTGCAATAAGGAAAAACAGTTTACTAATTATAACGAAAGGTGAGTCGTACAACATCGGCAACGAGAGCTCTATTGTGCACACCTAGTGAATAACACGGATAAAGTGAGTATTACCTCGTTTGAGATCCTGCGACTCTCGGCCTGAGATGGACATGATGGCTAACATATTTTGAACTGTTTGCAGATGGAAAGGGGATTATAGTGAATGAAGGTCCTGAAGCCACAGTTATTCACCATAACGGCGAAGAGCACTGCTTTTACACATTGATCATAGATCATTTAGGCAGAGAACCAGTAAATGTTCCCTGAAAGGTACAACAGTGGTTTTAAGGTGCAGTTGTGAACTTCATATAAGTTTTTTTCCCAGGTGAAAAGTACATATTTGTGCCTTTTCATAACCAAACGTTTTAAAACAGAACAATAAAATAAAAAGCCTGGAGACGAGACGGGGTGTGTGGAGTCAATACAACTTAGAAAATATAATTTCAATGGATTATGGTACAGTTATGTTCCCTGACTAAAGGTACTGAGATGTACCCTTGAGGGTACACCCCAGTGACAAGAGGAGTACTGCTCCAGTTTAGTGCCTTTATTTCTGAGAGTGTAGTGAGCCTAAAAGGTATGTAGATCCAGGTGCAACTTATATTATTGACAAGAAAACATGGGAGAAACTGAAACCTGAATGCATTAAGTGTCACTGCTACATCCTGGAGACACAGAACATTCTTTCCCTGTTGATCCAGTCAGCCACTGTCAGTTAAGGCAGCTTTTAAGTGTGAGACAAAAGCGGGAGGTTGCAGTGAATGTGCTGAATTCGTTGTCATTAGAGGAGAAACACTACTGGGCAGAGACACAGTCATGACACTTAGGGTGCTGAAAATAGACACAAATACTGCAGCAGTAGCAGACCTGAAACAATAACCACAGGCACAATACCCAGATGTGTTCCAAGCGGTGGGTAAGCTAAAATCCAAGCAAATCAGTCTTTACATAGACTGAAGCATACAGCCAGTAGCCCAGCCAATAAGGCGGATACTATTTAACCCCTTAAAATCCCGGGCTTATTACATACTAAGGCTTATTATTCAGTAAATACAGGGACTTCAATGCAAACTGGCTGAGCTATTCTTAGGTTATAAGTGTGTAATAACACTTTGGGCCTGTCTGTAGGCCCTGACCATTTGAAGGGATAAGCTGAAAGGCACTGTGAAGAAAAAGACTAGTAGACATGGACATTATGAAAGGTTCCAGCTCCTTGGGTCAATCCAGTGGTTGTCACAACTAAAGCCAATTCTGAGATTTGTGCTATTATTGGAGAATAAATTAACCCATACCAACAGTAGACAAGCTTCTACAGGATTGAATGGATCCACAGTATTTAGCAAAAACTGGACTTAAAATGGGATTATCACCAACTGGAGCTAACACAATTCACGCCAACAACATTTGCAGTGCATACTGGGAAGTACAGATACAAAAGGCTTCTCTTCGGTGTATGGTCTGCCACTGAACTATACCAACATGAACTTGCCTCTGCTCTAGCTAGCATCGAGGGAGCTGAGAACTTATAAGATGATGTCACTGACCAGTTAACACATGACCAGCGACTGTGCACTGTCATGAAGCATCTGCAAGAATGTGGATTGACTCTGAACGCTGAGAAATGTCAATTTAACATGAATCATTTTAGCATCATGTGCATTTTCACACAGAAAGGCTTTGGGCCTACAGAGAAGAGAGTCAGAGCTGTGGTAGAAGCCAGAAAACCGCAAAACTACTCCAAGGTGAGGAGCTTTTTTGGTCTTGTTAGAAACAGCAGCAGGTTCATTTCACAGTTCGCAACTCTTTCAGAGCCCTTGAGAAGAAAAGACAAGTTTGTGTTCAAGCCTAAACAAAAGAAAAGCATTTAATGCTTGTTGTTTATTAAGTAGCGGTGATGTGAAGATGATGAAGGAGTCTCCGCTGACGCTGTCTTCCTAGTGTAAGATGTTTATTACAAAGTAAAACAGTATCACATCAAGCACTATAAAGTACCCGAGAGGGGATCCGTGCCAATTCTAAAGTGTCCCCCCCAGACCAGAATATTCCAGCTGCTTATATATGGTTCTTGTTGTTGAAACAGGAGACAGAACATATGGTCCTTTTTAAAATGATCTCATCTATTTGGAATTAAGAGAAGAAGGGATAAAGTGAGAGGCCTACTCCCTATGGGGCTTTGGACCAGGGGGCCCCCTTAATTTAAACATTCCAAAACAGGGTACATAGAACTCCTAAATACTACAATATGGACTTAACTAAAAGTTAAGAGTGTTTTTACCTTCTTCTATAAAAGCACTCTTCTAAATACACCTCATGCTCTCAAAGATGAACTGACAAAAGCTGGAACCTTAACCTACTTTGTTAATAATGCACCAATACAGATAATCGCTGACGCAAGTCCAGCGGTGTTGGGCACTATGTTAGTCCAGCGTCAGCAAAGTGAGACGGCTCCTGTGTGCTACATCAGCAGGAGACAGACTGTGAGAGGAGATACAAATAGAGAGAGAGAGAGAGAGGGCTTAACTCTCATGTAAGAGACTCCACATTTACATCTATGGAAGGCTGTTTCATAGTGTAACTGACCATAATTTGTTCGAGTCAATATACAGGGTCATTCAAAAACATTCATCCGATTTCAAAGTGCCATATTTTTTCCTCTGTGAGGCGCTTAGGAACCAATCACATACCGATTGAAAGAGGGGGTCATAGAGTTTATGACTGTCAGTATGGCAGTGAACCTGCAACAGCTCAGAGCATTCGTCATTGGTACTGACAGTTTAAAGAAAAAGGTCACCAGTATCACCAGATCTCACGCCGTGTGACTTTTTTTGTGGGGGTACATTACGGATTCTGTTTATGTGCCACTCCCAACAACACTGGATGATCTCGGAAGTTGCATTGAAAGAGCCGTGAGCACAATGACACCCGACATGCTCAATCGAGTGTGGGATGAATTTGACTGTGGCGTTGATGTCCATACAGCTGGAGGAGGTTCATATTGAGCACTTGTAAAATTACATAGTAAATTTTATGGTCACTGAAGCCATTTACAGTTTACTGCATTGTTCTGTAATGATTTACAAGTGAAATGAATCATTTTGAAATCGGATGAATCTTTTTGAATCTCTCTGTACAGTCCACACCCCAAACATTGTACCTGAATCAAGCAACGGGTTCTTCACCTACAACCTTACGACTTCAGAGTTGTTCATGTGCCAGGAAAGGAGGACATCCCTGTCACAACTCACACTTAGGGATTGTGAGGACAAAGCAAAGCTTAAGAAGCAAAGTATAGTGGCCAGGCATGGACAAAGCAGCTGAAAGGCATGGCAAAGCTCATCACGATTGCCAGTTTGTGTCATCTCCTGATGCACCAGAGCTTTTACGTCCAACACCACTGCTAGATGCACCCTGGAAAGATGTACACACTTTAAAAAGATGGTCCTTCAAGGGTTCCTTAGTAAAGAAAATGGTTATATACAACCATGAACACTTACAGAACCCATTGCATGATTAAAGCCTTCTTTGCAGCGTGAAAGAGTTCCAGACTGGTAGATTTCATTGACTTTGTTTTACATTTGTATTTGAATCTCTTTAGAATGTGGCATCATGTGCAATATAGAGTACTTTTGTTTTACATAAATATAGATAGATACACCGATCAGGCATAACATTATGACCACCTCCTTGTTTCTACACTCACTGTCCATTTTATCAGCTCCACTTACTATATAGGTGCACTTTATAGTTCTACAGTTACAGACTGTGGTCCATCTGTTTCTCTGCATACTTTGTTAGCCCCCTTTACCCTGTTCTTCAGTGGTCAGGACCCCCATGGACCCTCACAGAGGAGGTACTATTTGGGTGGTGGATCATTCTCAGCACTGCAGTAACACTGACGTGGTGGTGGTGTGTTATTATGTGTTGTGCTGGTCTGAGTGGATCAGTGATTCCAAAATTAAAGTGTATAATATGAGACCAAACATTTAATTTGGTGCCTTTCTACATGTGAATATTCTCACTGATCATTCATGGTAACAAAAACAACTTTTTACAAAGTTATGCATCATTATTGAAAGGACTTTTATGAAGGGTCTGCTGGAGTCTGCCATTATGAGTATATATGTGTTGGATGAAATATTGACTCAATTAAACATGTAGTCTATATAAGAAGATAAACCTAAAAAGTCAGAGGTGTGACCAATCATAAGGCAGCACAGATGATGTCACCAACATAACAGAATGAACATCAACACACAAATATGATTAGTGACTAAACGTTCATGTCTTAAATGTAACTGTGCAAACTGCCAGCAGGGGGCAATTTGTAATTGTTCAGCTGTAACTTGTTTTTCTCTGGAGGGACTTGCTGGGTGTTAATGAGTTTAGCACTGCAGTAGAGGAAACAGCCGAGATGTTGGCAGCCACAAAACTAATATTTTGAATGGAAATGCATTTTTAGAGCATCATAAAAGGTAACTGTAAGTTATTGTAACCTTCCATTATTCTTGAGAAGCAGTGAAGGATTTTTTTTCTCACCTTGATTCCAGAATTTTTTACATTTATTGTTTTTTTCACTTTTTTCACTCCAGAACTTTTGTGAATTATCCATTTATAGTCAATAGACTTTTCTTAAAAACAGAAAATCATGTCTCCAAGGAGTGTTGATTCTTAACTTTGATGCTTAAAAGGCAAAATATGTAAAAAAAATAGCTAGAAAATGGTTGTAAACTTGATTTATTCATCACCTAATGTTATATTTGTTATTTGTTTCCTCATTGGTGTTTAAGGTGAGGTTGTACTGTGTGAACAGTGTGGTGTTTTAGAGCAGGAGGTTTTTGTACAGCCACTGAATGAGTTTGTATCACTGTGGTACACTTTTGGTGGAGGAACCAAACTGGCTGTTGGACGTGAGTAATTTGCTAATTTCCTAAAATAGTAACACAGTAACTTAACTTTATTTCTGTTAAAATCAGTTTTGGAATATCACTGGTATTTATTTAACACTTGTAATGATGAATGAAGGACATTAAATTCATTTGTGTGTTGGGCTTAAACGAACACTGGGTAGTAACTGGGCACTACGCTGCTGATAAGTTAATAGACTGTTATTAAGGCTTCTTTCAGCACTGTGTCACTTCTACACTGTAGGTTTTCAGTCAACATTTTGCTTTTTACATGTGATTTTTATCTTGAACACCCGTCTGTTTCATAAATAACCATGGAAAACCGTTTAACTTTTAATCCAATCTTAATATCAGGAATTCTATTTAAACAAGTGATATTAATCTTAGTGATAGAATATTAGAACAGTCAATCTATGAGTCACATTTTAAGTTGGAATTGTATTGTATGTGTACAAATTGAGTTTGCACATGAAACAGTAGCTTTCATGAGAAAGAAAATCCATTTAATGTAATAATTAGAATTTCAGCTTAGTCGAATTTATATTTGACGTGTGAAATTGAGAGAGCACATGCAAAATTTCAATTTGTACTAATGAAAATGTTTCTTTCTTTGAAAGCTATGAATTCTTGCTAGGGAGAACTGAAATCCTTCATAGTAAAATATAATTCCTCCTTGTAAAAGTTTTGACATTTTTACATGCGGTAAATAAACTTTGAGCCTGTTTACAGAAAGACAACTTGACTTTGAAATGATAATGTATATATATATATATATATATATATATATATATATATATATATATATAGATGTATCGCTTTTGTTGGAAGAAAACCTCGTATCTTAATTTTTGACATTTTTCAGTTTTTGACATGATTTGAAAATACCTGTTGGTCTTTATAATGTGTCTAAATTTTATGAAGAACGGACCAAACAAAATGGCCAAAAATGACTTGGAAAAAGTCTGGTTCCATTGACTTACATTAAAAATAAAGTCACTTTTTTCCTTCTCTTTTTTCTTTTTCTTCCGACAACAGCGATATATATATGTGTAGACCGCTACATATTTATATTACGAAATCAATTTGATTGTACTAGTATACAGTAAAGATTCTGAGTAGTTTCCAAAAATGCAGGATAACCATTTGAAACAGTTGATTTAAAGAATAACTACTGACATTTTTATTTATTTAATAAAGATCCAATTAAACACAATATGGCATTTTGGGTGTGTGTGTATATATATATATATATATATATATAATGTCGCCTATATATATATATATATATATATATATATATATATATATATATATATATATATATATATATATATATTACACAATAATACATTGTGAAAAGAAGAGAATTCTTCAAAAACACATTTCAATTTTTAAGAAAACCATTTTATTGTCCAGAAATAGTATAGTAGGTAATACTACAAGTAGGAATTATATATTATCATGTACATTGTAATTCTATATAGTGAATAGGACACCCATGTCTGTTCCCCACAATAGTGTTCTATAGAGCTCCTCATTGTGTAATATAAGGAAAGTGATTACTGGACTATTTTGAACACAGTTTATGTGTGTCTCCTAGGTGACACGGCACCCACTCTCTCAGTGCTGCCCCTGTCCAGCGTGGAGCAGGATCAGGAGAAGGCCACTCTGGTCTGTGTGGGCAGCGGGGGCTTCCCCTCAGACTGGAAGTTGAGCTGGAAGGTGGGCGGTTGCTCATTGGAGTCGGGGGTCAGTCAAAGCCCTGCGGTTCTGCAGAAGAACGACGGCCTCTACAGCTGGAGCAGCACCCTGACCCTCAGCCAGCAGCAGTGGCTGAAGAACACAGTGACCTGTGAGGCCACCAAGGACTCCCAGCCTACTGTCCGCAAGACAGTGACCGCAGATCAGTGCTCTGACCTGTGACCTCACAAATGCACCTCCAATGTTCGTTAGTCGAAGCACATTTTCTTTTGCATGACTATCTGCATTTTAGAACACATAATAAAAGCCTTTAAGTGCTGAAATGTCTTTGAATGCGTTTTAATCAATAAATAAAACATCTGTCTCATTTTCAATGCATATTGTTCTTTATGGACATCATAGATGATTTGCATTATCAACTTATTTAACAAACGTTGATATATACTAAATACTGGGACATGGCCCAACTGCGGTCTTACATTTTAAAAAAAAAATAATTAATTAAAAATAAATAAATAAAAATAAAAAATAATTAAGTATAATTAAGTATTCACACCTTAGATATTAACAAGGATTATATTATGATCTATTTAAACCCAGAACATTAATTGAGATAGTAATAAGCTAAATTTATACAAAATCATCATTTATAGGGTAGTTTCTATTGGGAGGTGGCTGCCCTAAACCCTAACTCTAAACTGTAAAAATAATGCTTTATTAATTTATTTAAAGGTCTTTTTCATTTATATTTTCCATGGGTTTTAATTTTTAAAATAAAAAAGTTATTTTAAAAAATGCTGTCCTACGTTTTCATGTCTTTATCGAAACATAAAGAGTTTAAGTTCATAGGCAGAGCCTTACCTTAGCCACGCCCCTGTATTTTAGAGCAGGAAGTGAGACTGCATCCCTGTCCCTCATGGCTACATGGTGAGCAGATAGATCCCATTGTTTTGGAGTAAACGTGTCCCAAAGTTTGAAAATCAGTGTGGAACATTAAGAACTGTCACCACCAAAACACATATTTTCTGCAATTAAGTAAACTTTTTTGTGTTTTAATAAAAAAAAAAACATTGTGTACTGTTTTGCTACAGTTTCTGTGTTGAACCACATGTTTTATCCAAACAGTCTGCAATGGGCTTTGGCATATATTTTCATGCTCAGGGTCATTGTCCTTCCTCATAATGCCATCTATTTTTGAAGTGCACCAGTCACTCCTGAAGCAAAGCACTCCCCACAACATGACGCTGCCACCCCCCATGCTTCAAAGCTGGGATGGTATTCTTTGGCTTGCAGGCCTCCCCTTTTTCCCTCTATACATAATGATGGTCATTATGGCCACACAGTTCCATTTTTGTTTCATCAGACTGGAGGACATTTCTCCAAAATTAAGAGCTTAGTCCCCAAGTGCAGTAGCAAACTGTGACCTGGCTTTTTTATGGCGGTTTTGGAGCAGTGGCTTCTTCCTTGCCGAGTGGCCTTTCAGGTCATGTTGATATAGGACAAGTTTTGCTTTTGATATAGATACTTATGTACCTGTTTCCTGCAGCATCTTCACAAGCTTAATTGTGTTGCTCTTGGATTGATTTGTAATTTTCACACTAAATTACATTCATCTCTAGCAGAGAGAGTGCATCTCCTTCCTGAACGGTATGATGGCTGGGTGGTCCCTTGGTGTATAAACTTACATATTATTGTTTGAACAGATGAACATGGTACCTTCAGGTGTTTGGAAGTTGCATTTTCAGGCATTTGGAAATTGAGTTTTAATGACTTTGCAAGTGGATCAGACACAGCAGTGAGTTTTTAAACACCTGAGTATCACTGCTGGACTGAGAATAGTCCACCAACCAAAAATATCCAGCCAACAGTGTCCTGAGCAGCATCCTGTAACCACTGATGAAGGACTAGAGGATGACCAACACAAACTGTGCAGCAACAGATGAGATACTGTGGACCAACAAGGTAGGAGTGTCTAATAGAGAAGACAGTGAATGGATAATCCAGAAACCTGGATCAATGCAGTAGAGCTGTGAAGGTCGTCTGATGTTTCATTGAAAACTGAAGACGATTTTCATGAAGCTTGTTAAAAGCTTAAATACGAATTAATTATCTTGGAGTCAGACAGTGCTATTTTCTGAATTTCGTACTGAAATGGAAGTGGAAGAAACAAGTTGCTCTAACATCAGTCTAGCTTCAGAGGGGATTCTGAACATCTGCACTGAAAGCTGATCTATTCTGGGAGCATGGAAACCACCCATGCATATCCAAGTTATGCACACACACAAACACATACACACACACACACAAAGACTATGTGTGAGTATGTCATTGAAAAGTGACCACTTGCAAAAACATCTAATCATCTCCAGCACTACTTCCTCTGTCATGCGAAGGAAACAGAACTCAAATAAACCTGAAGTGAGAACAGCAGTGGCAGTAAATTAGTCAGAATTGTTAGACTATGAAATAGTGAGATGTGTTACTGAGGAACGTATAATTCCTGACATACTATCCTGATCGTCTGGAGGATGGTGCTGTTTCTATTTTATTAATGAAGCTGAAAAAGCTTTGGATTAAATATGAGAAACATCAAACTCAAACTGACTGAATGTCAATATTAACAGATTTACACTGACCTTGAGGTGAGCTAAACTTTATCTGAGTTACTGTACTTGCTTAAAACTATTTAATTTAATGCCTGTAAATACTATAAATAACATTTTTTTAAAAAAGTGATAAGATCAGTTAACTAGCTAGTCAGCTTTTCTTAACTTTCTGTTAAGATTTTTAGTTTAAGACATTCCAAAATTGGCTGCAATTATCAACAGTGTGTACAGTGTTGCAAAGAGATCTACTGATATTCGCATGCAAACCAGCTAGCCCCGGCACATCCTATCTCATAATACCAATTTGTACCTCAGCCTTATCAAGTGACTAAGAAAATAAGTGATTAAATAGAAGCAAAACAAGAGCTAACATTTGCGTTGCTTTCCACTAGAGAAAACTCTTGGCGATTGAAGGGATGAAGTTTGACACTGAACTCGCAATATTTCTTCTAGACTGGTAAGGAGGAGAAGTAGTGAAGAAGGAGGAGAAGAGGCTGTGGAAATCCTTGTTTCTTATGATAGGGGTGTACACCACAACTTTCTGGTGCTATGTTGCCCCCTATTTGTTTGAAGCGTGGAGTAAACCTCCTCCTTATTAGATATAAAACCTACCATTTCAATATCAAGTGGCTAAATGATTTCCCTGGTTTGATTACGTGTTTCAGAGTCCAGAATTTGTTTAAATTTAAATAGGCAAACATTCATATTTTTTCAGTTTAATTTCAAATGTTCTCCTTTGTGTTCTTCTACATTTCCCTTTGTATTACTGAGCTTCATTGTCTGTTAGTGCAAGTGTAACAGATGCTAGAAGAGAGCTTGAACTGAAAGTTTGCATGATGTAGCAACAATAACTACAAAGAGGTGGGACTTTCAGATTTTTGCAAATGGTAAACTGTTGCTAAGGGTCCATTTTCATTATAAAATTTTGTTTTTCAGGTTTTTTTTCTATACTCAGTGATTCATTAATTGGAATCCATAGATTTCTTGTAATTTTTTCTTGTTGAAAATCCTTTAACACTGCTTGCTGTGTTGTTGCATGAGTTAATGTTCTTAGTGGGATCAAGACCAGTTCAGTCACTGACTAAATTCTGTTTAACAGAAGTGAAGTGTGTGGAGATGTGGATGAACAGAGATGCTGGTTTGTGCTGATATTAATGTAAGTACTGGCTCTATTAGCTGCAGCAATACGCTGTAGTGCTGCTTCTACAGCTGATAGTGACTGTACACTGTAGAAGTACATGAAATTCTGTGTTATTAAACCCATTATGAATAAAATAATTTATCCATTTCTACAGTCAGTAGTGAGTCAGTGTGCTGAGTTTGTTCTCCTCCACAGTGTGAGTGATTGTGCTGTTTCAGCACCTGCAGTAGGTCCCACTGCAGCAGTGCAGCCTCTGTACAGTCAGACTGAGGGAGGTTTTTGTACGGCTCTGTATCACTGTGTGAACACACCACCATTGTGATAACTCTGACAGTAATAATCTCCTGCATCTTCAGGCTGGACTCCACTGATGGTCAGAGTGAAGTCTGTTCCAGATCCGCTGCCACTGAAACGAGCTGGAAAACCAGACTGAAGCTGATTCACCAGTTTAATCAGGAATTTAGGAGTTTCTCCAGGTTTCTGCTGATACCAGTGTAAGTGGCCAGATGTGGTGTAGTAATACACTGCAGGGCTGGTTCTACAGCTGATGGTGACTGTGTCTCCTGGAAGAGCAGATTTCACTGCAGGAGTCTGAGTTACAGTCACTGTTGACTGACCTGTGGAGTCTTGAAACAAACAACAGAAATAAAATTTAACTATGACTCACATTTAAGATTCATATGGATTATTAGTTTTAAAGCTTTATTGAAGACAGATTGCTCTGAAACTGTATCTGACCTCGAGTCCAGAAGATCAGTGTCCAGATGAGGATGGGGATTAAAGTCATGGCTGCTGTGGGTGAAGAAGTTGCTGAAGCAGCTCTCAGTCATGAAGTGTTAAACTCACAGCACTATAAACTCTCCCAGAGCACTGAAGCATGGAGCACTCAGTGCAACGTGTCTTCTGTCTATGCAAATATCTTCATAACAGAACTTCACCACAAATTTCACTTTTGGACTTCATCATTTATGGTTCACTTCACATTAAAATAATAGGAATGCACTAATAGAGTGTGTGGAAGGTTAGATAGAACACAGTATTGGGTTTAATACTTTCATTTTGGCTTTACATAAAAACTACTTCCTTGTTTCTACACTCACTGTCCTTTTTATCAGCTCCACTTACTATATAGGTGCACTTTGTAGTTCTACAATTACAGACTGTAGTTCATCTGTTTCTCTGCATACTTTGTTAGCCCCCTTTACCCTGTTCTTCAGTGTTCAGGACCCCCATGGACCCCCACAGAGCAGGTACTATTTGGGTGGTGGATCATTCTCAGCACTGCAGTAACACTGATGTGGTGGTGGTGTGTTGGTGTGTGTTGTGCTGGTCTGAGTGGATCAGACCCAGCAGTGCCGCTGGAGTTTTTAAACACTGCGTCCACTTACTGTCCACTCTATTAGACACTCCTACTTTGTTGGTCCATCTTGTAGATGTACAGTCAGAGACGATAGCTCATCTGCTGCTGCACAGTTTGTGTTGGTCATCCTCTAGTCCGTCATCAGTGGTCACAGGACGCTGTTGGCTGGTTATTTTTGGTTA